TTGCAGGCACCCTAACACAAGCGTGTGTGGGACTCTGCTCCTCACCAGTCAGCTTCTGATTGGGAGGCCCAGGTTGGGGTGGGGCAGTGCCAATGGCTCCATGTGGCTCCTCTCCTCACCGTCGGCTTCTGGCTCAAGTCTTCAACTTTGAATGCTGAATAATTCTATCAGAAACATGAATGATTAACATTTATTTTATTTTTGAGACAGGGTCTTGCTGTGTAATTCAGGCTGGTCTTGAACTTCAGCCTCCTGAGTGGTGGGATTACAGGCATGCACCACCACACTCAGCATATGTTATATTTTTACCATTAACATGGTCCATGTCATGGCTTGTGTCTAGATGTCCCTCTGTGGTGGATTGAGTAATGGTCAACTTGTAATGCCCAGCTGAACTGAATCAGCGTGGTCTGGGCATGAAAGATCCACCTGGAGATTGTTACCAATAGCCATAAAAAGAGACTGGAGGGGAAGATCTTGGGTTGTTGATTTGCTAGGAGAAGCTTGTTGTGGATGATTTTCCTGGTGCAAACTAGGCTGTTGCTGTTGGAGGAGGAGCTTGGGACCTTGCTGTTGCTGAGAATGGCTGCCGTTTTCATCAGGGGAGCTCTGACCTTTACCGTGAGCATCACTTCCTGGCTCCAATATGGATCCCTCAGCCTAGTGGCACAAATCCTTCATCTCACCAGCGTGGATTTTCTGGCTTCCACCACTGGCCTTTGGGCCTTCCAGGTGCAGATCCTTAATATGGACAAGTATGAGACATTGCCATGGGCTCTAGGCCACTGGCTAGACTCAAGGAGGCCATTGCCTTGGACTCTTAAGCCTTTAGCTGGACTTGTGTGGGAAACTGCTGGGATCTAGCCCCTCAGCTGAATCCTTTGGGCTTCTAGTGTCCAGTTAATCTCTTGCACCCCTTTGCATTTGACTCTTTGGGTAATTATCATAACATAACCTTATAGGTTATGTTGTGTCCTGTATTTAATGTATTCCCTTGCCAAATCCTTCTGACTACAACACCCCCCAAAGCTTCATGCAGTCATAGGTGAAGCTTTTTCAGAGGTGGCTGAATCTAGAGTGTGAGACACTGGGATTGATTCATGGTCCAGTGTTAGGCTCAAGGGCACTAGGATTAAGGATGTGAGTACTACCTGCCCTAAGTAGCCTGGATAAGATATAAAGGATAGAAAGAGCTGGAGTCGTCTCTTGCTTGCTTGTGCTGTCTTCTGCTGCAATGAACTGTGTCTCCTGTGTGACACCCGTCTGCCATGTGCCACACTACCTTGGAGCCAGCCAACCATGGAATGAAACCTCTACAAACTGTGAGCTAAATAAACCTTTCCTGGGTTGGGGATTTTGCTCAGTGGTTGTAGCACCTGCCTCACAAGTGCAAGGTTCCGAGTTCGATCCCCGGTACCCCAAAAATAAAATAAATAAACCTTTCCTCCATTAATGTTGGGGATCAGGTAGTTTTTCTCCGCAATAAGAAAAGTAACTAAGGCAGTCCATGAGAGTTTACAACTCCTCTGGAGCTATTACCTGTTTTAGCAAAAACAGAGCACCTACTATGTGCTGGGCTCTGTGTTCTGGTACTGGAAAGTGAAAGGTTTCTGCCCTTAAGGAGCTCCAGAAACACTTTGGCTCCAGGACTCAACTCAAATGTCATCTCCAGATGGGCCTCCCTGAGCACCTGCTCCTGCAGCCATTATTTCATTGCTTCCTTCATTTTCTTTACAGTACTTACCGTCATCTAAGAGACCTTATTTGTCTGTTCACCTGTTTGCTGTCTGTTTTTCTTTCATAAAGGCAGTAATTTTGTCTGATTTTCTCTAGCCCCCACAAGTTTCTGGCACATAGGAGCCATAGTTTCATGACCCCTGGAAGTTTCAGTACGTATTTATGGAGTACCTTCAGTATATAATGGAGTAACTGAATGACTGCATAACTGATTGGAAGGATGAGACCTGAGATCTTGGATTCAGGTTCTGGCCTTGCTCTTTTTTATGAGGTCTTTCTATGTTTCTTAGGCTGGCCTTGAACTTTCAATTCTCTTACATTAGCTTCCTGAGTAATTGGGATGCCAGGCATATGCCATTGTGCCGAGCTCTGGCCCTGTCACTTATTGGCTATGTGTGATCTTAATAAGTCAGATCACACATTAAATTTCCTAATTCTCATTTCCTTATTTATAAAACAAGGTTGTTTGGAGTGGTAGAAGAAAGAATTGCCAGATTTGAAACTAGATTGATGGGGATTATGCAAACTAAAGAACAGGGAGAAAATAGAATAAATTAAAATTAACAGAGCCTCAGAGAAACTGGACATGTTTGATTGTACCACCAGATGCATAATAGGAGTACTAAAAAGAAAGGAGGAAGAAATAACAGAAAAATATACAAAGAAATGACTGAAAACTTACCAAATTTATTTTAAAAATACATTAATCTACACATTCAAGACTCTCATTGAACTCCAAATAGAACAGTGTGAGATAATGAAGAGAAAGCCTTTACCCTTCTGTGTGAGTCAGATTTTTGTGATTGTTACAAAATACCTGACATAAACAACTTACAGGAGAAGAAATTTATTTGGGCTCACAGTTTCTGAGGCTTCAGTTCATGGTCAGCTGGCTCCATTGCATTTAGGCTTGTGGCAAGCCAGAAACATTATGGCAGAAGAGCATGGAAAAGGAAAGCTGCCCACCCCATGGCAATTGGGAAGCCTAAAGCAGGGAAAAAAGTTCAAGAGGAAGAGTCAGGGATCAGATTAGTCCCTAAGATCATGCTCCCATAACCCACTCCCTTCAACTAGGCCCAACCTCCTAAATTTCCATTACCTCCCAATAAACCTATCCAATTATGCTGTCATGCATGGATTAATCCACAGATGAAGTTAGAGCCTTCGTGATCCAATGACCTTTCAAAACCCAACCCCTGGACACCTAAAACTTTTGGGGGACATTTTAGATCTAAACTATGGCATTCCACTTCTGGCCTCCAAAAAGACATTATGTTTACCTCATTATGCAAAATGCACTCAGTTCATCTCTGAGAGTCACCAAAATCTTAACAGTTCCAGCAATGTTCAAAAGTCATTCCACAATCTCCTCTGAGAACCAAGACAAACTATGTGAGCCCCTGTAAAAAAATTTTTTAAAAAAAAAGCAGTGTAAGGATTGTAGTTCAGTGGTAGAGTACTTGCCTCATATATATGAGGATCCGAGTCTTGCAAAAAAAAAAATAATAATACATACTCTCCAGATACAATGACACAGAGTAAACATTTCCTTTCCAAAAGTAAGGAAAAGGGGACTAGAAAGAAATTGGACAAAAGAAAGACTAAAACCCAGCAAGGTAAACTCTAAATCTTGTAGCTCAATGTCTGCCAACTGAAGCACATGGTGGTAAGAGGTGAGTTTCAAAGGCCTTGGGCAGTCTGATCTCTATAGTCTTAGGGGTTGAAGGCTACATGATCTCTCTGGTTCTGCTCATTGACGGGGTCCTTTGCACACATTCCTCATTTCTGGTGTGTCTAACTTCCTGGGGTCTTAATTGCAGCCTCAGTGAATGTGAATTAATCCTCCTTCCTGATCCAGAACACCAGGAAAGCACCTATAGATGACTTGGAGACTCCAAGCAGGCCCTGTGTGGAATATCCAGTTCCTTCTGAATGTTCTTTGGCCCAGGTTGAGCATGGCCCAGGGCAAGGTATATTCCTTCCCCACTATACCTGATGGAATTCATAGTAATAAGCAACAAAAGCCAATTTCTGAAAAAGCCAGATTTCTGAAAAGAAATCTCCTGAGAGGAGTTGAGTAGCCAGAGTTGTTGGAAGGGCTGGAGAATCTGCCATAGGTGCTTCATAGTCAACACCCTGGCACTGGCTTTTGGAACCTGGTCCCCCTAGCCCCATCTTAGTTTCTTGTTGCTGATATAATAAATCACCATAAATTTACTGGCTCAAGACAACTCAGAGTTATTATCTGTGTTTATGTTATTATCTGTGTGTGCATGTGTTACTGAGGATTGAACACAGGGCCTTCACACTGAACTACATGCCCAGCCCTTTTTAAATTTTTAAATTTTGAGACAGAGTCCTGCTAAATTGCCAAGGTTGGGCTCAAACTTGTGATCTTCATGCCACAACCTCCCAGAATACTGGGATTACAGGTATGCAATGTCAGAAGAACTTATCACAGGATCTGGGTTCGTGTTAGGTGGTTTGGGGGAGTGTCTGAGATAGTGAAACACTGGTTTTCAGCTTTTTTATGGGGAAGCCAGGCCAGAGTGGCCCTTCATGAATGGGAATCCTGAGTGGGCTTTTGTTGTATGCTGTATGCCAAGAATTCACAGGGCTGAGTGGGCTGGGAATCAGGCTCCAGGTGTAAAGTTGAGGGCCTTCCCTGCAGACTTCCCTAGGAGACTGGGCCAAGCAGGCTGCTGTTCAGTCCTCAGACTGACTAAGCAGGGCCTGACAGTAGCAGGGCCCTAGCAGCAGCCAGCTCATGGCCATGCCCTCAAAACTTATACAGGACTGAGACACTGCTCAGGAGAATTGGGTCTCAGTGAGCCCACCTCACATGGGAAGCAGAGTAGGGCCCAGAGAGAGACAGGGACATGTCGGACTCAGGGCAGATGATACCCTTCTCACTTCCTTGCTCTCCTAGCCAGAAAATGAAGCACCATGAGGGAAGATGTGTTTGGCCATGTCCAAAAAACTAACATAGTTCTTCAGACTCTCTTCTTAAAACCCAGGCCTTCCTGACTCCAAAAATTCTGTCTTCTGCCCTGATTCTAGAGACTTCAGGGACAAGCTGCCTCTATCACTTCCCCAACATGTTTCTTGAAAGAGCCATCAGCCTTACATAATGAGAAGACTTGAATGAAAAGGTTACTCATTTACTATTTAAACATTCATGAAATATTAAATGAGTACCTACTCTGGCTGAGGCTTGCCTGCGAGTACCTGTCCCTCTCCAGGCTCTCAGAAGCATGTCAACTTGATCATGTTCTCTGGTGTCCTAGCAACCAGAAACTCTGATCTGCACTCTAGCCAGGACAGAGGCCATTCCTCCCTGACTTCTAGGACTTGCAGCCTCCCCAAGCCTCTGAAGACCTGTCCATGCAGCTATTTAGGAGCACTGACGCCATCACTTTTTCCCAAGAACCTCAGCCCCTCTGACCCACCACCTGGCAAGATGAGCTTCTCGCTCACATTCACTGAGCTGGTCAATGTTGCCATACCACAGTATGGGATGGTGAACTTCAAGGCCCTACATCTTCTGCACCAGGGCATCCTGGAGCACATCCACATGGCTGATCTCAAGAAGGTCCTGTCAGGGGATGAGGACTTCCTCCAGTCCTCACAGGTGATGCTCATCCCAGGGAAGGAGATGCCCAGCCCATCCTTAGCCCCATGAAGCGGCTCAGCAACATCTTTGACCATGTGGTGAACCGTATTGACAAGATAGAGAACGAGCTGGCCACACTGCAGGACCTGCCCTCTACCACCCAGCTGCTGGAGGGAAGCCAGGGGACTGGCCAGCCCATTGAGGACCTGTGGCATCTGATCAAGCTGAGGAAGATGGTGGAGGGCAATGAAGAAGCCATGACAAAAGTACACCTCCAACCTGCAGAGGCCTCCCAGCCCATTTGCTCTGCTCCCAAGCATCTTGTCCTCTGTTCCTTCATGATAGGATATTCCATTGTGGAGAGGGGATGAAGCCAGACCTTGGAGTCAGACAGAACCAAAACTCCAGTCTTACATCTGGTCATTTATTGAGAAAAGCAGACACAAAGGTCCATATATTGTATGATGCCATTTATACACAATACTCAGAATAGGCAAATTCATAGACACAGAAAGTAGATCGGTGGTTTCCAGGACCTCGGGCAAAGGGGGAATGGGCAGTGACTGCTTAGTGAGTGTGGGGTTTCCTTTTGGGGTTATAGAAATATGAAAATGTTTTGGAACTAGTTAGAAGTTATAGACATGCAGTTGCCATTGAAATAAATGGTGCTGCATTGTTATTTTAAAAAAATTTTTTATAGGGGGCCAGGGATTTAGCTCAGTGCTTTCTGCCACCTGTCCTGCAAGTGCAAGGTCCCGAGTTTGATCCCCGGTACCAAAAAACAAAAAATTTTTATATGGCTGAGGATGAAATCTAGGGCCTCGTGCATGCTAGGCAAGTACTCTACTCCTGAGGTATATCCCCAGCTGAATTTGTTCCTTTAAAATGGTTAATTGTGGGGCCAGTGATTTAGCTCAGTGGCACTGCGCCTGCCTCACAAGCGCAAGGTCCTAAGTTCGATCCCAGGTACCAAAATTTAAAAAAAAGATTAATTGTATGTTATGTGACTGTCACTTCAATTAAAAAACATTAATTGGAGCTGGGGATTTAGCTCAGTGGTTTTGCCACCTGCTGCGCAAGTGCAAGGACCCAAGTTCAATCCCTAGTACAAAAAAAATATATATTAATTGAGGACCTACCAATGAGGGAGGCATCATGGTAGACATGGTGAACACAGAACTAGCAGGGGGAGACAGACAAAACACCCAGAACTAGCCATGTGAACAGAAGGGAGCAGCCAGTAACGGGCAGGCCCAGTTGGGAGTTGGACAGGTTCAAGTGACTTCAGGCTTTACTGTAGACTGCTGTATTTCTTGCTTCCCAGTTAGTGCAAAGTTAGTGTTCAATAGATAGTAGTCAAGGGCTGGAGATTTAGCTCAGTGGTTCAGGAGCCTGCCTCGAAAGCGCAAGGTCCCGAGTTCGATCCCCGGTACAAAAAAAAAAAAAAAAAAAAAAGAAGATAGTAGTCAGGAAGAATAAGAAAGGGAAAATAACAAGGATTACTGGTGAAGATGTTGAGAAACTGGAATCCTCACACATTGTTGCAGGGAATGGAAAATGGTGCTGCTGCTGTGGAAAACAGTCTGGCAGTTCCTCAAAGGGTTAAACATAGAATGACCATATGACCCAGCAGTTTCACTTCTGGGTATGTACCCCTGAAGAACTGAAAACAGGTGTTCAATTAAAAACTCACACACAGTGATCACAGCAGCATTCTTGACAATAGACAAAAGATGGAAATAACCAGTATCCCCCTACAAAAGGCAAGGGCGTTTATGTGAACTTGGCCACTGCCCTCTTTGAGCTTTGTGGCCTTGAGCAAAGCAACCCCTTTGCCTTCTTCTTTCTCATCTATAAAATGAAACTCTCAGTAACACTCAGCTATTGTGTGGGGTGAGTGAAGTAAAAGGCAAGGTTAACTAAGTAAATACTCTAGGGAGTGAATCACTTTGCTCTTGGGAAATGGGGAGGGTTATCTTGAGCTGAGAGGGAGAATGAGATTCCCCATGGAGAAGCTGGGCAGCAAGTCAGGAGTGAGAGAAAGAGCAGCAGCCAGGTTTGGGGCTGGGTCCAGCAGGGAGACTGTCCCCTAGGTTTCCACTGAAGGCTGGTATCTGAATATCCAAGGAGGGGTGGTCCATGTAGGGCAGCTTCACAGAGTATCCTACCTTCGCCTCTAACCTCCACCATAGTCTGGGGCCCAGACTGAGCTCTTGATGGTTAAAAAGCCACATACCAAGGGGTCAGGGATTTAGTTCAGTGGTGCTACCACCTGCCTCGCAAGCACAAGGTCCAAAGTTCGATCCCCAGTACCAAAAAAAAAAAAGCCACATGCCAGTGAGAATTAAAGAATTGTCACCAGTCAGGCATGGTGGCACACCCCTGTAATCCCTGTAGTCAGGAGGCTGAGGCAGGAGGATCACCATGAGTTTGAGGCCACCCTGGGCTACATAGCGAGTTCAAAGCCAGCCTGAACTACACAGGGAGTCACAGTTGATTGAAGGCAGAAGACAGCAAAAGCAAGCAAGGGATGGCCCCAGCTCTTTCTATCCTTTATATCTTATCCAGGCTACTTAGGGCAGGTAGCACTCACACCCATAATACAAGTGCCGTTGATCCTAGCATTGTACTATAAATCATTCCCAGCATCCCACACTCTAGAGCCAGCCACCTGAAAAACTCCCGTCTATGACTACATGAAGCTTGGAGGGGCTATCTAGACATAACCATAACACCCCCTATTTCTTTATTGTCCTTTCCCTTTGTCCCCTCTCCTCACCGTGTGCCAGGTAAACAAAATGCTTTGCATCTGTTCGCTCCTTTAAGCTTCCTATTAACTCAGTGGGGCAGGTGCTGTTATCCCTAGTTTTCAGATGGGGAAACAAAGGCACACAGAGGTTACGGTATTAGAAAACAGGGAAGCCAGTGGAAACCTGGACATTCTGGGGAGGTGGGTGGTGTAGGTATCTGAGCAAGAAGCAGTTCAAGGAAAGGGTGGAGTATGGTAATAGTTTGATGATGATTTGCTCCTACTAGGACTGTAGAACTCATGTTGAAACAGTGTATGGGATGCCAGGTATTTTAGCTCAGTGGTTCTGCCACCTGCTGTGCAAGCTCAAAGTCCCGAGTTCAATCCCCAGTTCAACAACAACAAAAAAAGTCCATGCATTAATGGAATTAATATGAGAAAATGAAAAAATGGAAACAAAGTCTGTAAATAGGGATGGAAGGGTTGACGGGAGGGCAGGGGAATGGGGAAAAAATAAGAACCAAGAGAGATTATGTAAAGGTGAAAATTTCCAATGATGAATGTCACTATATTGTATACCTAAAATGTGCCAATAATATTAATTTAAAAAAAAAACAGTGGGGGCCAGGGATTTAGCTCAGTGGTTCCACCGCCTGCCTTGCAAGCGGAAGGACCCAAGTTCGATCCCCGGTACCAAAAAACCCCCCAAAAAACAGTGCATGGGAAATGCTTGGCACAGAGTTGGATGTATTCTAGGTGCCCGATCTGTGCTCATTGTTATTATTCAGAGATTTGACCTGAGCAGAGAGGCAGGTGGATTGAGAGCCCTAGAGCCCTGAAGAATAGAGCTTGGAGTCTGTGGGAGGGAGGAAGAGCCCTGTTTGGCCAAGGTAGGGCTGATGGCAGGCAAGAGAGGCAAAGCAACACAAGGAGGAGCCCTAAGTAATTATTAAGTGGAAGAAGCCAGACATAAAGGGCTACAAGTTGTGATTTTATTTGTCTGAAATGTTTAGAAGAAGGAAGTCTATAGAGGAGAAAGTACATTGGTGGTTTTTGGAAAACAGGAACAGGGAGTGACTGCTGATGGAGACAGGATTTCCTTTTTGGGGAATGAAATGTCTTGAAACTACATTGATGGTGATGGTTGCACACTTTCTTTCTTTCTTTTTTTTTTTTTTTGCACACTTTCTAAATATACTAAATGCCATGGAATTATATGGTGTAATAATGTGTGCTTTACCACACAAAAGCAAAGGTTGGCAAATGAATTTTTTAAAAACTCCACACTTGGGAGGCTGAGGCTTAAGGATACAAGTTTAAGGCCAGACTGGGATATACAGCCAGACCTGTCTAAAACAAAACAATACCATGACTGGGCTGGGGTTATAGCTCAGTGCAGAACACTTGCCTCCCATCTCACATTTACAAGGCCCTGGCTTTGATCTCCAGCACTATAAAAAAGAAAAAGAAAAAAAAAACCTATGATCTAACTATATGGTTTCTACAAGTGACACACTGTAGATTGAAAGGCACAAATAAGTTGAAAGTAAAAGAAAAAGATACTCCATGAAAGCAGGAACAGAACAGAGCTGGGGGCTGTACCAACATCAGACAGAGTAGGGTTCAAGACAGACAGGGCTGCAGGGGTGGCCAAGGCCCTTGCAGGCATGAAGGATAGATACAAGTGTCTGGGGTCTGCCCTAGAGGCGGTCTATCCTCTGCCCCGCATGCCTTGATGGGTGAGGGCTTCTAGAATTCTCAAGTGCCTTGAGCAGCTGAACATGATCACCTGCTCAGTTTACAAAAGGACTCAAGGACAGGTTTGGGCTGGCTGTGCAGACATCAGAGGACTGACTGTACAGATAAGGAATGTCCCTGCAGTTAGAGAATGTTGCCTGGTCCCAGACTGACTGAGGTTTCCCAGAGTTACCACAATGACCCATTGAAGGGGGTTGCCATGGTAGCGATTCTAGAATGGCGCATGCTGCTTAGCCAAGTGTCTGCACTCAGCAGCCAATGAGGCTGGCAGACCAAATGCTGTATGAATAATGGGGGTTGCCTCACCTTTACCCCTCCACCCCTTTTCTCTGTGTCAGCTGGGTTGGTGTCCTTTGCTACCTTACTGGGAACCCCTCAGTGGTCACAGACTAAAGGGAGGGGAATCAGAAAACAGTTTGCCTCAACCTCACCCCAAACAGGGAGAATGGTGCTTGGAAAACTAGGGCAGACACCAATAGGGGTTTTGCCCCTGGGTGAGCAAGAAGCCTGGGAAGAACCACAAGTGTGACCCAAGACCTAGAGCCATTAGTTAGCATACTGCCAAATTTGGGGACTTGCGCCCCACAGGTCATAATAAAGCAGAGTTAGGCTGCAGAGCTTGTGAACCTGACCACTATTGACATTTTGGGTTAGATAATTCTTTGTGGCTTGGGGCTGTCCTGTGCATTGTAGGGTGCTGAGTGGCACCAGGGCCCCTACCAGTGGATAGCAAGAGCACGCCCTAAATGAGACAAATCA